TAGAGTATTATTTAATTAATACTCTGTGATAGAAATTATAATGAATACAATAATCTGAGCAATGAAAATATACTTCCTGAATCTGTACCCTTTTCACCTTTAAATAATAGTGAAAGTGATACTGAGAATCAAGATAATGGGAGCGAAAATAATCTCAATTACTAACAATTAGCAATAAATGAATTACGTTGGTTTAGCTGTGATTTGAAAAATCTTCTTGAGAAAAAGGATCTCGTATTGGATAAAAATGTATGTAAATTTATTAGAAGCTACAAAAAATATCAGTCTGCTCAAGATACCCATATTCATCTAGCAGTAGCTTCTTTTTTTGAAACCTGCAATTGGAATGCAAGCTGAGTTAATGGCAATATTTATTAATGTAGAGATAAAAGAAGATCAACTTGTGAACTTAAAAAAATGCTACAAGAGTGACCAAAGAAAAATAGAGAAAATTATTCGTATAAAATTTAAGAACCAAATCAGTTTATTTTGCTTGCACGATCAAAGAGAACACATATCAAATATCTACATGACTTATAGCAAGCTTTGAAAGAAATACGACCCAATGGGTATTAGATATAATAATCACTATGTAACAAAAAAAAATTATTATTCTATGTAGAAAATAATTTTTAAAGATCATTATTCTTGAATTAATTTTTACAAAAAATCTTGCTTTTTTTCAAAAAAAACTTTTATCCAATTGAAATTGGTTTCTCAATGTATCCAAATACTTAAATTTATAAATTAGATCCTCATTTACTGCAAAAAAAAAAGTAATTTTTCTTAGATTACTCAGGATTTAGATAAAATTTTATAAAACTAGTTTAATAGTTAATGCAAAACAATAAACATTATGAAATTTTATAACAATTAAAGGTAAATCTATATATAGCTAATAGGTCAAATATTATATATATGTATATACTGTCTTTAGCTTCATGGTGTTATATATATAAAAAGATATTGATAAAAGTAAATTATATATCAGTTATCAGTATATGCATAGACGTACATAAATATATATATGTACATTGAATATTACACAATCTTCATCATGTGACTATAAACTAAGCACAGATTCTATTTTCATATGCTACAAGATAAGGCTTTTATTCTAAAGGCCAAGCCTTAGTACATAAATTATTAGTACTAAGAACAGGCATAGATGAGATATTTCTTTTGTTTCTTAGACTAATAATGATTTTGTCTCTTTTAAAAAGAGCTTATATGAAGTTTGAGATGTGAAGTTTCATCCAAACTGAAATAAGATAAGCATCTAGTATATCTTTAATAACAGGAGCTTGAAGGCCTGCTAGCTCTGCCAGTTGCTGAAAAGTAGAATATTTAGGAAGCATACATGAGGTACTTTTAACCCAAAAAGAGATAATATGATTAATTTCTCCAGTTTGTTTTCTGTTCAGAGGAAGAAAGTAGGCTGAGTACCAAACTTTAGATAGAATAAGAGTCTTAGCAACTAGGATTTTTCTTTTAAAAGATAGGTTCCTGTTTGCAAGCTTGTCTAGAGAATTCTTAAGGCTATTAATAGTATTAGTCCAAAGGTTTTTTTTTGGTTGTCCATTAGTAAGAATCTTATATCCGAGAATAGTGATAGAGTTATTCTCACTAGATTTAATGAATTGGTTCTCATTAAGAAGTTTTACTCTTCGAGCAGTAGGAGTAAGAGGAATAAGTTTTGTTTTGGTTTTGTTGATTTTTACATTAAAAGCTGCTTCATATAAACTCAGAGAGGATAGTACTAAATTCTAATTCGTAAGAGATCCAATTCCTATCGTAAGATCATCAGCATATGCTGAAACTTTGAAAAATTGATTTTTTAGTTTGATTCTATGAAGTTGATTTTCTAAGCTTCTTATAAGAGGTTCAAAAGCCAGAATATAAAGAAGAGGTAAAAGTAGGTCTCTCTGTCTAACTCCCCTTTTGACTCTAAAAGGTTTAGAGATATTTTCTGTATCAATAATATGTACTTCCTGATTGGAAAAAAGGTTATGAACTAGGTTAATAAAGCTATTATCAAAATTTATATTCTTAAGGATAAGCTCTAAAAAGCTATGGCTAACTTGATCAAAAGCTTTTTGTTGATCTACGAAGAGTAGCCAGTTCTGTTTAGAAGGATCAGATTGATTCTTCATTATAGTTATTATATCGAAAGCAGCATTTGTAATAGACCTGTTTTTGATGAAACCTTGTTGTTAGTGAGGTATAAGTTCCTCACAAATTTGGTTGAGGCGATTTGCTATAATCTTCATAAAGATTTTTGCATTACTATTCACTAAAGAGATCGGTCTCCAATTATTAACATTCTCAAGGTTGAGTTCTTTCTTAGGAATTAGTGAGATTAGGCTCTTGCACCATAAAGTCAACATAATTCCAGTAGTACATGCTTAGTTGAAGACTTTAAAAAGAACTGGAGTTATAATTTCTTCTGTAAGTTTGTAGAACTCATAGGTAAGACCATCAGTACTAGGAGCCTTGTTGTTAGGAAGTTTTTTGATTACATTGCTGATTTCCTCTTGAGAAATCTCTTTAATAAAAGATTGGTTATGTATTGATGAAACTTGAGGTAAGTTATCTGTAATCTTTTTGGCTGCATCAAGGTTGATATTTTCTTTTTCATAAATTTTAGCATATTTGTCTCTGATATACTTTAGAGTATTTTCCTTAGATTGTGTTGAAGCATCAGGATCCTTAATATCCTTTAAGGCAGAGTGTACTTTTCTAATTTTGTATCTGGAGAAAAAGTATTTTGTTGATTTTTCATACTGTTCTATCCATTTTGCTTTAGATCTAATTTGCCATTTTTCAGCAAAGTTCGTTAATTCTTCTTGAAGATCTAGGATAAGTCTATTGACTTGAGTATTAAGAAAAGAATTTTCAGAATTATGAGTAAGCCTTTCTTTAAGATGAGTAATATTTTTATTGAGCTTCGTAATTTTGCTTTCCAGAGCTTTTGGTTTCCTAAAAGCTCTGATTATAGATTGTAGTCGAACTTTGCAAAAATCCCAATCTTTAATTTCATTGAACTCTGAGATCTCATTAAATACTTCTTTTTTTAGATAATCATTTTTGAAGCAGGCTTTGTCAAATTACCAAAGAGCTGACTCTCTACTTTTAGCCCTAAAAGAAAGGGTATATTCAACCAAAAGATAGTCAGAGTTACCAAATTTTGTATCAATTTGAGTGACAAAATGAGCATTATTTTCGTCAATGAAAATATAATCAAGATGTGTTGCCATAGTGCGGTTTCCTTGAGTTCTTTGAAAGAATGTATAGAATAGTCTAGACTTGGCTAAGTCTGAGGAATCAGAGAAGTTTTTAGTGAGATCTTGTAATTGTGATTTTGTTATATCCCATTGGGGAGTTGCTTTACTGGTTCTGTCTTTTTCTGAGTATAAATTCGTGTTGAAGTCCTCAGCGATTATATTAATTGAGTCTTCCTTAAGTAGAGGAATCCATTTGTCAAAGAAAAGTTTTCTATTACCTATATTTGGAAGGACATAGATATTGGAAATTTGGAACGTTAGATCTTTAAACTTGAAGTTTGTAGTGATAACTCTATTATCTAGATCTAGTTCAATGTCTTTAAAGGTTATATTCTTATTGCCTGCAAGAATAGCAGTTTTGTTAGTCCAAATAGAATCAAAAATCCATTAATTTTTGAGAAAGTTTAAAGTGTTGTTGTCATTTAGATTTGTTTCTTGTAACATAATTAAATCTAATTTATAAGATTTAAGAAGAGATAAAGTATTTCATTGTTTTTGTTGATTGTTTAGCCTCTTAACATTAAGGGTTGCAATTCTAAATTTAAATTGTCTAGTCATAATAAAAAAAAAGAGATAATGAGTTAGATCTGCTTGTTTTGTACCCCTTATGGGTTTTTCTATAGGGTACAAATCTGGCTAGATTTGTTTTTTGCACTGTATAATCTTTTTTGTTTTTTCTTTTTTTTTTGAGACTATTGTAAATCTATCATTAGCTGATTCTGAGTGAGGTTGTAAATTACTCTCATTTGTAATAAGGACAATAGGATTGTTTAGAGGTATCAGTTTTACTGATTCTACAGAAGGGTCTACTGACATATTGTCAGATATTATGTTTTCTTTATTTGATTCATTATGTGTTTTATTTTCTGAAAAAACAAGTGAAGATTCAGTTAGAAGAAGTTCTTTAGTAGTATTATTTTTGACAGAAACTGAGATAGGGGTAGAGATTTTATTAGTTTAAGCCTCATTGGTTTCTTCAATGTTCATAACTTCCTCAGAGTTATTTTGTGAGTTGACTTTTTCAGTCACAGTTTCAGATTATAGATTTTTTGATTTTCTTTTGTTAGAGATAAATTCCTTATATTGTTGGCGAAGCAAGGTAGCTTCTTTAAATTGGTTACAATCCTTTTTGATGTGTCCTTCTTTGTTGCAGAAATAGCAAAGTTTAGGAGCTAAATACCATTCAGTAACAATCTTATTGTCAAGGAGGATATAAAAACGAGGGATTCTTTCTTCAAGATCAGGGTCTTCAGTAGTTTCAAAGGTAATTATCTACTAATCAGTTAGATATGGAGTACCTTCGATTAATAATAGTTTAATGGAGGCAATCTGGCCAATATCTTTGAAAACTTCCTTGATTTTATCAGAAATGAAATCTTTATCTCCTTACAGAACATTTCTGATCTTAACTGAGAGAAAAGATCTTCTTGTATCAGTAGGGATATAACCATAATAAGTCTTATTAAATATCTCTACTCCCTTAGTAGCATAGTATTTGAGTTTGTCTATGCTGGTAAAAATGAGTTCAATATGTGTACGAATACCTTGTTTATATGTAGCTTAGCAGCTATAATATCACATCCAACTGATTCATATAGAGAGATCATGATTTTATTTAGAGATCCATCTAAATTATGTATATCTAAAATGAGAGCATTGTTGTTTTTTGATTTAATATTATTTCTAGGTAAGTAAGAAGAGAAGGTGAATCGACCTCTCTTGACTTTAGCGAATAAACTTGACCAAGGCCTATTTAACGTGTTGTTGTTGTTTACTGAAGTAGTTTTAGAACTAGATGAGGCAGAGTTGCATACTGACATGTATGTTGTTGTTGTTGAAGAGATGTTGTTATTGTTTTGCTCTTGGTTATATAACTCAGAC